ATATTTATTCACCCAAACCATATTTGGTATCAATGTTATACCTAACACAAGTATAAAAATTCTCCCTTGTGGATCTACATATTTTTCTACTGCCTTAATTTCTTTTTTATCATATACTGCTATCCCTTTCTGTTTTTGATTTGCCAGGGCTACAGATAACCTTACTAATTTAGGATATTCTAAACATTTCCAAAATTGTTTTTTTAATATGGACTTCTTGCAGGCATACTCTTTCTAATTTCTGTTTGGCTAATCTAGATAGTATATTTTCTTTTAATGGGTGAGTTTAGACCATTTATGTTTAATGATAATAGCTTCGTTTCCGTTTCCGTCTTTCTACTTGTGGGATATTATCTGTCTTCCATTAATTCAAGTCTCTCTTTGCAGGCGTGTTCTTAATTTTCTTCCTTCAGTCTCCTCCTTGTTCTCTCCTTCTTGTTCTAGTCCTCCTATATCTTGCTGTTGTTGTTTTTCTTGGCTTTCTGTCTCTAGCTCGTCTCTACTGCTGCTTTCTGTTCCTCCAATCTGCTCATAGAAATCTTGTGCATTGTCTAAGTTATCTATCCTGATCCTCTTTTCCTGCCATGTTACCAACAAGCCTTCTGGAATTAACCATTGAAGCATTATATTCTTCTGGATGAGTTGTGTTGCCAAAAACTTACAGTCTTTTCTCTGTTCGCACACCTTCTTAGGAACCTGCTTCAGAGTCATCTTTGTATTCTATTCCATATCTTGTTACTATTTTAGCATTTTCTCAGTGATTTTTCCCTTCCCTTAGTTTTCTCAACCTTGTTTTTAATTATCTCATTCCTTTCTAAGTTCAATTACATATCTTTTTCTAAGTTTCAATATCTTTCTAATCATTATGTTTATACTTTTGTCTGTCCTGTTTCAATTTCATATTTCCTTTTCTCATTAAACAAGTTTTCCCCTGTAGTTACTGATTGGAATATGACACCTTTGTATCTTTTAATTTTTGTCCATTCAGATCTTATTTAAACTTCAATTTATGAATACAATTATAACATTCAATATCTAACCTCTATTTTATAACATATAACTTTTGCTAATCGAATTCTGCTTGGTACATTCTTAAAATACACACTAAGTTCTTAAAGATAAAATATATAGTGTATATAATAATAATACATAAAATACTCATTCTATTCCAATTTGGCTCAACCATTAATGTTAGTTACAATCTTCCATTAATATTAATTAACATCTTTAACATTTCTTTTCAATTAAATATCATACTTCCTTAGGAACACTTGTAATATTTCCATATTTTTTTCATATTTCTTTCATATTTCTCTTCACTTAATTTTTTATAAATCATTAATAACAATTAAAATGTTCCCATCCTTTCCTAATTTCATTCTCTCATTCTCTTTATTTCATTTATTTATTAACAAACATTCCATTACATTACAATAAGTATTTTATCTATCACTTTAATCACACTTGTTTCATATTTTCTAAATTCATTTCTATTTCTAATATAACAATGCTATCTTATGTACCCTTGCAGAATCCTCTCTTTCAGTTAAATTTTCACCCATTATCTCTATGTCTTCTAAATAGGCC